TGCAGTTTGGAGTCCGCTTGGCACAGGCCCGACAAAAGTAGTGGCGGCAGAGGCGCTTCAAGTTCACCAGAAACACACCTTTCGCTGCCATGTAGCAGCCAGGCACACAAGCAGTCACCTGCATTGAAGCGCTGTAAATGCTGGACAAGATGCTGGGCTCGGCATTCCAGAGTGGCTCGAGACAGATCTGGCCAAATCTTCAAAATTTTGCAAGAGAGTGAACAGCTGGACCGTGCTTCTAGCAGTCCGGATGATGTGGTTGCTCAAATTGCCAGGTTTGCCCCACAGCTGCCAAGCTGCAGAGTGTCTTCTCTCAAGGCCACCTGCATATGGAAAGGCACGGAGGTGGACTGGCCAAGCTAAATGCCTTCAAGGCTGCAGAGCCACAGGAGCCCGCAAGTTTCTAGAAGTGCGGAACAGGCTTCCTCCTCATAGCGCTTCCCCTGCAAATTAGTGCCTCTGCTTCACCCGGGTTCTGGAGCCAGGCGGGCACCTTTGATGACAAGGCCCTTAGAACAGGATTACGTGTCCGCTGATGTCAACACCTGCACCAAGGACAGGGCTGCCCGCTGCGTCTCTGGCAAAGGCTCTGCGACGGAAGAAGTTGCCTTGCGAGACGCACATGCGCGCAAAGAGGTCGTAGGCCAATGCTACTACACTTGAGCTATTGCCGACCTTATTCAGTCTACACGGCGGCCTGTAGCCTTGCCTTGAGCTTTGTTGGAGGCCATATGTACCTCGAAGTGCATGAGACGTAGCATTTGCCCTGCAAGAGTCGGAGTTACAACACTAGCACTTGATCAAACCGCTTTGTGGCTTAGCTGCTGAAGCCAAGAAACAACTTCAGCATGGGATGGACGGGGCCATGCCAGGGGCTTCGCCAGGAACGGGTCGGTGGCAAAGGGTCTTCCTGGTGTGATGGAATGAGACTAGGTCACTAGAATCAACCAATATCAACCACAACAGATTCGAGCGAGAGAGAGAGAGGGAGAAAGAGAGAGACCTATCAGGTGAGAGAAAGAAAGCCAGAGAGAGAGAGAGAGAGAGAGAGACAGCGAGAGAGATAAGAAAGAGGTGAAGAGAGCGAGAAGGAGAGAGGGCAGAAGGGAGGGAGGGGAGAAGAAGGAAGGGAGAAGGGCAGATACAGATAATTGATGATTACATGTTTAGACAGAAACGTAGGCAGGTGGGAGCAAGCCAGACACTTGCCTCCACCTCCGCGTTGTATGCCCACACCTCTGCACCGCCCACGGCGGGGCCCAACCACCAGCCGCGCCTTATGACAAGGCATCTGAGGTCTGCGCACTACTGAGCTGGAAAGAAAGAATGATTGGACTGAGCTACTTTGTCCGGGCATGCACACCCTCAAGAGCTGCGTTGAAGCCGTGGCAACCCTATCACGAACGGACACGCACAACCAAAGCAACCCCTCCAAGGTCAATGCCAATTCTCGCCATCCCGTTCGTCCCAAAAATAGATGAAAGGACCTGGTCGCAGAAAAGACGCAAGCAATCAAAGGATTGAAGTGCTGGTGTCACCAGCACCTGCTGACATGCCGTAGAGCCAGGCCTGTCCCACTGGCATGTTCAAACACCGGACGACCATGGTGCTCCTGGCAAGTCAATGGCATATGCACGAAGCATATGCTCGTCTTGCATGAGAAAACAACAGCAGAACACAGGCGGGACACCCCGCAAAGGACATAGCTCCCGTTTGCCTTCAGCAGAGGCACCACTACTGTGCAATGTCATGCCCGGCAGCAAGTTGAATTGCAGGGCTGCTGTAGATCGAACCACACTCCACACCATGTCGCACCCCCTACCAATGCCTTGGTGGCATCTGGACCGCGCGGTCTCTGGGGGAAACCATAGACGACGAGGTCACCTTCTTTTGAGTGCAGGATTTGCAAGAGGCTTCGAGAGATCCTGATAGCCCACCTTTGCGTCCACTGGCGAGCCAGGCATGCAGCGGAGCCCAGCAAGAATCTGACAACAGGTCAAGACTTACAGGCAAACACAAAAAAAATTCCCCCGCCTGTCCAGGGCTCAGAGCAGCCATTGCCCATGGCTTGTAGATGCAGCTATCAAGCAGGAATCACCCTCTTTCTAATTGAAGGTTTGTAGTTGCTGTGACACTATCGACTCAATGCCTGGAACCAATCTACTGTATTTGCCCGGCAGGCGCTGGATGGTTTGGTTGATTTTTCTTCCGTGTACATGTGTGTACCACTTTGGGTACGGGCACGCTGAAAAACAGCGGATCAAGCAGGAACATCAGTGATCACCCCTTCAGTGATCCACCTCGGTTGCGAAAACTACGCAACTGCGACACCATCTGACCAAGCTACTGGCCTGAATATCAATCTCACCAGTTGGCTTCCACGAACCTGAGGCGCAAAACATCGGCATTTGTGCACCAAGCATGCCAGGTATTCACAGGACTTGGTTCGCCGTTGGCGTTAAGACTGGCTACCGTACCTAAATCAATAGCAAGCTTAGATTCAGACCATCTGGCTGCAAGCAGTTGCCAATGCACTTGCCCTCGGCACGGCTTCATCACCAAAGTGAGCAACTTGCAACCCTGCAGTTTTCGGATCTTACATAGCAAAGAAGATGCAAAGAAGATGGCAGGAGATTTACTCCAGCATAATGCGCAATCCTGAAAACAGGCACAATACCTCAACATGAAATGCGTGTAAAGATGTAGGGAACCTGCTGGTTACTTCAAGTACCCTTGTGCACGACAAGCAATGAAGGGAAGCAAGGGCTCAAGTATCCATCAATAGTTCAGTTGTATGAGCAGATGCTAACATCTTACCCAAGTCTCACTACCGTCTGTGCCCTCTTGACACTGCCTCAGCATTCAGCCGCAGGCGTTCGCCACGCCTGGATTTCAGTTTGTGCATCTTGTACTGTTTTAAGATTCCTGAGGTAAAAGCCTGCAAAAATCTGAGATTGAAAGAGAGCTCTAATATAGATTCGATCTTCTAAGTCTTGAGCTGGCAGCTTGGCTTGCAGAAGCTTGATTCCCCTGAACTGCGATGCACCTAAGAAACTGCCATGCCATACCCTGTGTGCGTGCCTGCTGCTAGGCTGAAGTGGCAAGGTAAATGCACCTCAGCACCGCAGTGAATGGGGAACAACGCCACTAGTTACACACGTGTTGCCAAATCTGGCCACAAGCAATCCACTTCATACTGATGAAACTACACTACAAGCTCTTGTGTTCGACAATGCAAGATGGTGAGTCGTTCAAGCGAGGCACGTAAGGTTTAGATGCGTGTTTCCAGCTGTTCTTTGCAGTCCAGAGATGGGAATTGTATTTGTTGAGCAGCAGCTTTCAACATGCCAGGCCACAAAACTCCGTCACGCAGGCAAGGATTGCAGCCAGCACTATCACAGGAACCGCGATGCGGTTCACCTCATGGAGCAGGCCATCCGGCAAGCTGACGCTGGTTTGAAAAACACGGCCTGCCTCACTGCTTAGCTAAGCTTCAAATCTGCCCCGTACACATCTAGCTCATCTTACCTACCGGTCTGGGGTTCTGTAAATGGGGCTCGAAGGCAGGTCATACTCTGTCAGCAGGAGCATCCAGCAGACTTGCATTGCAAGCTCCAGGCCTTAGGCGGTCTGGCCATCCTTGCCTTATGCTGCAACCCTCTGACATCAATCATGGTGCCTTTGCTGGATTTAGTCCCCTCAGTGACGAGAACCACGGAATCTTCAAGGCCCACGCCACTCAGTCACAGAAAGGCCAGGGCGACTTTGAGCCAACGCTCCCACTATCCAAAATTACGACCACTCATGGATCTTGCGAGGCATTGTATTGCATCTTACATGCCAACAAACATCAACCATCAAGGCGGGTTCTGAACGTGCATGTCAAGTGCTCTCTTTTGGCGGCAGCCAATGCTCCAGGTGCGTCACTGCAAGAGCTTACACCCTCATCAGCGAAACCGCAAAATCACAAGATGTTGAGACAAGCCCTTTGCCCGCCTGTGCAGGCAGGGCTGACTTTAACATAACGATGGGTGAAACACCTGGACTACGCCTGGAAATTCCGACGCAGCTAGATCAAGCTTGGCTACAGATGTCTGCACATGACTGGCTCACACCCTGCACTAGAACTCAGCGGTGCTCGTCTTAAAGATATCTGCAAAGCTGCGCAACACTGAGCTTGAAAGCGTCACTGAGTCCCAGGGGGCTGTCGCGGAACACGCTTCACCTTGCAGAAGCCGCAACATCTCCCAACCAAGCACCACGTCTTCATGGAGGCATTCCTTACTTTTTTCGTTTTGCGCTTCACCAAGGCTGCGGCAATTGCTGCTGGCGGCGGAGGAGGTGGTCCTATCCCGCTCAGGGGATCGCAGTTTTGAAAGAGTGAAGCAGCTATAAACATCCCTTCTCGGTTTCCATGCTGCAGGGGTCAAGAGGAGGAACATAAGCCTTAATTGGGGCGTACCTTCGCGCAGGATGGGAAGCGTTCAGTGTACTTCTGGCATTTGGATCGTGCAGCTGTCGTTGTAAAGTCGGAGGCAACCAACTCAGGTTTGAAGGACTGAACAGCAGGCGCAGACATCGATTGCAAACGCGCCTTGAGCAAGATTCCAAACACAGGCAGTGCAATCCTCAGTCCGCGGATTGTCAAAGCACCATTCCCTCTATATGAGCATATCATGCAGAGACTGCCAGGCTACAGTGGAACTCACAGTGCGGTCACTTTTCCTTCCCGCTGTGCTCACAATCCTCACGGGGGCCTCTGATCATCGGCTACACATAGGCGGCCCCTTCGCGTGTCCAGACAAGTCGTCCGATACAGAAGCAACCGACCGGTCTTAAAGACATGTAAGCCCGCCCCTCCCCGTCAGTCACCACTTTCGAGGGTGGGCTAGGGTGGGAAAGAAGTGATGAGTAGGATCTCCACCGTAATGGCTGAGGAAAGTGCTCGTACCTGTAACTCATATACAGCATAAGCCCCTACCCAACCAATCTGTATTATTCTATGTCACGTCCGCTATCACCTTCTCTGGGAAGCTGAATCCCACATTCTGTGTCTGCCCTCTTTCCCTCTTCGTCTTGTCCATCCGAAAGGGGTCCTCCTGTTTTGCTTTTCCGCCCTGTCTACCGGTCGCTGAGCACTGCACCCAGGAAGTCGAAGCAATCACGTTTTCCTACAAAGGCTCGACATGCAAACAAAACGACGACTCAACAGCCTGGAGAGAGTCGAACGCAAGCTGGCACAACGTGCGATGCCATCGTAAGCTTCGAAAGCCATCGAGATTGACAAAGCGTGCGTGTCTCAAATGATTCAGATGCGGAGGAGCAATTGCCTCAAACAAGCTCAAGTCGACACCCAGAGTGAACTCGGTGTGCTGGTCAAAGTGCTGGATCCTTGCACGGCTTGCAAAGCGCGCGCATAGGCCCGTGATATCTTGCACCATGAAAAATCTGAGGCCAACCACATCTGGCCCATGGCCATATCAAAGACATTCACTGCTGTGTCGTAAGAGCAGGAGACCTAAGCACGTCTCACAGCACCAGGGCACCAGCGAGGATGTCCTTCAAAGGTGCTGACGATCTGCGTCTCGACGTAAGGGTGGCACTTGACCTAAGGCCAGTTGGTAAAAGACCTCATGAAATGCCCTGTGCTGTTCCCATCTCAGGAGGCAGCCCGTTTGACGGCCAGCTGATGGCCATGCAGAATCTGCACGAAACACGGATCACACTAGCGTTTCTTTGAAGCAATTTTTGCCAACATCTGCAGTCACAGTGCAATTGATGACTGGCAGCGCCTGCAAGGGCTGGCCAAAGTTGCGCATGTCAAAAGTACGTATCGTCTTGTCCACACCTGAAACAAGTGCTTTCACCCGCGTGATCACTCCGCATGGCCCACGCTCAAGCTCGAATGCGTTGAGAACTGAGGGAGCGGCTCCCGGTAACGACCATGAACTCGTTGTATTTGTTCCTTGGCTCGGTGCATGCATGCTTCACAGCAGCTTCCACACATGCGCTACCCACATCATGCCCAAGAGATCGGCCAGTCGACCGTCAAGATCTCGTGTTGGTGAGCCTTGGTCTCGGGCAGGGGTGACATGTCGTGGTTCAAAATCACGTCCAATCTTATGATCGTCTGGCTGCGTATAGATGCTACTGTACAGTGCTTTGCGAGGGCGAGGCCTGAATGCTCTGTACGGGCATCTCGCCCGCATTTAGATCCTAACGCCAGCCAGCATGCCCGCACGCAAGAACCAGCGATGGAATTGTCGTGCATGCACTCACTCAATGTCTTAGTTGTGCCTGGATGTGCAACATGGCATCTCCACCCACACTCGCAAGACACGCTGGCCTTGCAGCAAGCTGACGGCAGAGCATAATAAGCCCCACGCAGAAAATCAAGTTTTTCGGGCATGTGTGTGAGCAGGGCTGCATCATCTAAAACTAACTTGCTTTGCCTGGCTGGTGACCATATTGCGGCGTAGGCCAGGTTCTGGTGAGCGCGGAAGGTGCTAAGGCAGACCTGCCCAAGTCACGTCTCTGAGCCGCCCTGCTGCATAACACTTCTGCCAGAGGCTGAATGATCACAACTCTTCGAAACAAGGCTACAACAGTACAGTAGCACACTATGGTATAGCATGACTATTGTCACGTCTTTCGCAGCGTACATCTTCACAGAACTGCTGAGCCACGAACTCCTCGCATGGCATCCCAGACCTTGACCGAGTGGTCCCAGGCCGCAGACGAGATCTCAGTAGGGAGACACTGTGGATAACGACGTCACTTCTATTGTGCTTTAGGATGGTCCGGGCCAGGGTACAAACTTTGGAATCCGCGGAGAGTGCAAGGGAAGCCCACAACAAGGCATGCACAAGATGCTTCTCATTGAGGTTCCAGTCAACGCCGTACACCTCGCCATGAAGGGTCCAAAGTGTTGGAGAGTGTACTGCGCAAAGTCGCCTTGACTCTGCTCGGCAAAGCTCCGTCTGTCACAAGCTCTATGGCAGTTGCTCTCGTTGCGGCCTCAGCCGTGTGCTCCTCAAGCGACATGATGGGACCGTGAGGGTTCGTCCAATCCTTAGAACTCACACGAGGCTGTGCCGAGCTGCAGCTCACGGTGCCTGAGGTACCCGAGGCTCCTGCAAAGAGCTTCAGCGTGCCATCGGCCTGGCCTGTGAGGAGAACATGCTCGTTGGCCTGCAACAAAATCCAGGTCTCACTACACGACGTGCACTCGCGGTGTGATGTCATTCACCCGAGCCCTGACCTCGCTCCAGGCCACATCATAGACAGCCTGGTTGGTCATCCACTCACACACCTTGGTGCGAAGACTGCCAAACTGCTTGAGCGGCAACTGCTGGCCTGAACCCTCGGAAAACTTGTCACAAGCAATTAATAAGGGATGAATCATTGGCATGGTTCCAGGTACAGCCCTTCCTTGAAAAGCAACTGTGGCTCCATTACAACACATTCCCTCCAAAGCCTAAGGCGCGCGCAGGCTGCCCGCCTGAGATGTGCCAATCGTCTAAGCTTCGTGATATCAGTCACACTGTCGATCAGGCATGTGAGGGCTCCGCCGGGAGCAGCAATGTCCAAAACATGGAGCTTACCATTGCCCACAATCCCGAAGTACCTTTGCTGACGCTGACAGGCACCTGCAAATCCAGAGCCCTGCTGGCCTTGCCGGTAGCTTGATCTGCTCCATGCAACCAAAAGGTCCCACCGCAAGGGCTGAGGGTTGAACTGACCCGTGCCAACTGCCAGCAGATTTCCGCGGAAGGGCGAAAACCTTACAGCTATGGCGCGGGGTTGGACATGACTTAAGCGACGTATCTCGATGTTCAGATCCTCGCAACTCTCCCTTCGGAAAGGTCACGGCAAATATGGCCAAATCATCACAAGCATATGTGGCAAGTTAATGAAGCTTCGGCGCTGGCGCTTGCCTTGCTAGATGCTATGGTCAGGCTCTCTCTCTGGGGCCGGCACTCGCAGCTGTAGCCGCAGAAGGGCACTCCAAACCAGCTCATCGCTCAACCTGGCAGCCAGCAATGTGTGCGGGGAGGGTGGGCGCGGCCACAACAAGTCAATCTGCCCATCTCTAGCTACCTGAAGATGGGTCAAACGATAATTCAGAAAAAGAAACTTCTGAGTTTTCCAGTAGGACTGGACCCATTGATGTGCAATTCATTCGCTGGCTGGATTGGGATGATTTAGGCCAGACACACGCTAGGCTTGCTGACAGAACCAGAAGACGTGAGCAGCGAACCTCTCAAGCTCTTTGGCAGCTGGCCGGTCTCATACCAGCGAGCATTTCACTGCTGTACTGAGGTATATTGCATCACGCATTCAAGGTATTGCGGGTCTCATAAGTCCCAGTGTTTACAGCCTTCAGGTCTGGTTAGGAATGGTTCAGCCTGCGGTTCCTTTTTACATCTGTGGTTGTGAGGAGCATGTGCGCAGAACCCGTAGGTTTCACATTGCTGCAATCAAGCTTGAGCCCGGGCCGGTGAATGCTTGCAGTGTTCGATACAGGGAAAACGACAAGGTCAGCACACAGTGCATCATGTGCAAAGGGCAAAGAGACACAACTTGTCATCCAAAAGCAAAGAACTTTTCTAAGCCGAGCTGAGCAGCCACTGAGGACCCATCCTTTGAGGCCCTGCTGTGGGGAAGACAGGGCCTGGAGACTCAGATTGCAATGGCTGCCTCGCGGTCGCAGGTCTGCACTGCAACAACTTCCGCCTGCACACAGAAGATGCAGGTTGTGTGCGCGGCCAGCACTGCAGAAAGCTAGAAGCAGCCACCTCTCCTAGTAGGGACCGGCGCCACCGCCGCCGCCGCCGCCACCGCCGCCCCATCCTTTCCAACCCTTTCCTTCAGGGACATCTGCACTCACACTTCAGGATATCATGTAGCTTCATGTGAGATGCGCAAGTCTGGACTTCTCAGCAAGCAAACAGCCATGGTCTGATACCATCTGCAGAGCATGTCCTCCCCACCAACCTGGCCACAAGGTCCCAATTGAGAAGAGCAATCTAATACATAACGCCATTATCTTACCTCCTTAATTCATGTGGAAGTTAGGTGAACAAACAGCGCGCCAGATGTGGTGATTCCCTTGGTTGCCAGGACTCTCGCAAGGGTATGAGCGGCTCATACATCTAATCTATCAGAACCCTAGGAGCAGCATCCTCGCGCCATCTAAACTCTGACAGGACTGGCATACATGACGAGAGCCTCCAAACGACTCTCAGCCAAGGCAAACGAGCTAACAATGTATCAAGCACGGCAGCAGGTCACCTCCCCACCAACCTGACCAGCCAGTCAATTTCGGTCCGCTGAATTTCTACTTCACTGCACGCATTATCCCCAGACACTCTGCTGTTCGGCCGCACCTTTGCCCATGTCTTTTCCTCCTTTTTTGCCTGGCAAGCACAGCCCCCAGAAAGCAAATATGCAAGCGCTATCAGAAGAAAAGCCGCGTTGTACCCGGGGGTACGGCACAGATAATCAATGCAAAATACAAAGGGCCGCACCCATCATGCCCCACATTGCGCCCCATCCTCCTTTCCTGAGCACATACATGACAAATGGCCAGAAAGCTGCACAACTCCAGACTCTCACACCATTGCACAAAGCGTTGAGTTGAACCATGCTGGGCCAGCTGCTCATCGCCTTTGCCCTTCCCGGCTTTCTTCTTGTCTACCTGCAGCACATGACTGCAAATCTTAAGAGCTCAGTTTGCAGAGGCACGGTGCAAGGAGGAGCTCTTGCCTTGATCGTTCTGCCCAGGAATTCAGAGCCATCCAAGGCTTTTGCGATCTGCGCAGGGGCTGATGATGGAACATGTGTACGAGGCTCCATCATCCTCCAAGAAAGTCTCCTTTGCGGAACAAATCAGGATGTATGCTGCAGCACCATCTTCGCGATGGTGTAATGATAACCATGAATTTCCATCCTCCAGAGTGTCTGCAGCGGAAGTGGCTGGATACTCAGCAGGTAAGTACGGAAAGCATCGGCCCAAAATGCAAGCATTGAGGCAAAGGAGAAGGATACTTCATCACTTCACTTCCCTGAGATTCGACTGTAGAAGACAGGGAAGCCCAGTCAGTCCTCCATTTTCTTAAACTGGTGATTGCTCATCTTTCCGAAAACGTCCCCCGTGCGAGAATGACATGTTTGTGGATGCCCATTCTGTTCTGCATTGATCCAGTGGCCCGAAAAGGCTCTGTATTGCTACTGCTGCGCAGGCGATCAGCTTTGGACCATTCCTCGCAGTAATGTTCATTAACATCTCAAAAACTGTCTTCGAGGCTAGGATCGACAAGCGGAAAAAGCAGACATGGAGCCCGCCAGACCGGACCAGAAGACGGAAACATGAACTTTGCTGTCCAGTGTAAAGACTTTGCACTGGATCAGACATCAGATAATAGGCTGATCTATGCTTTGGATCACCTGCAACTCGACCTCTGTTCTGCGTGGTCGGTAGTTGGACAGGAGCCTCGATCGATAGGCGCACAACTCGAGCAGTCTTTGGGGCATGCATCACTGAGACCAATGCGCTTCAGGTTCAGCAGAGCTTTGCAGGTTGCCTGGGCGTCGCTTCATCCGTGCTTGCGCAAAGTAAACTCACCATGGCTTGCCAAGTGGCTGCTTGAGTGCATCAGCCTGCGACGCTCCAACATGAGGTGGTACACACCTGCATCCAGAAATCTGGGCTGTACCATCAGCTATCATGAGGAGGGAGAGCTTTACATGTCCTCCATCTACCTGGCGCGGATCACCCAGCTACAAGTACCAGCCCAATTGGGCCACGTGTGAAAGAAGCGCAGGTCAGGTCGCTGCAAAGGAAGAGAGCGAGCCTGAATCAGTCCTGAGCTGCAGCTTTAACGCAGTACGCCACTCACCAGCTCACCTAAGCATTCCACACGCGATGGCCAGTACTGTGTTGCACTGCGGCTTGAAACTAGTGGCTCTCAAACCATCAGCCAAGTGGCATGTGGGTCAATGCATCTTGAACAGCAGCCATGGGCATCGCGTTCAAGCCGACGCCGACGATGGCGTACAGCATGCTGAGCCCTGTTGGGGGGCCCAATCTAGGAATGAGCCTGTTTGACTGATAGTCTAGTGATCTCATCCAGACATCACTGCAAACCTGCACCAACCGGCGAAAAATCGAAGGAGCACCGTTCGCCCAGAAGGAAGATGCATGTGTAGTACCTTAGCTGATAGTGATTGTGGGCACTGCATGGAGCTGTCGTGGTAAGTGTTGCTTGTTCCGCGTTGAATCCAGGTGGCAGGGTGGAGAACATGTCAGTCATACCTGCGTTTCCGCCCTGGCACGCTTGAGCGCTTTGCACTTTGCTAGCTTCCCGTCTCGGCACTTTTTTCCGCCCTACCTCTGCAAGGTACCACAACGTCGCGCTCAGCACCCAAAATGTTGACGAGACCTGGCAAACGTCTCCGGCAACAGATTTCTGCTCAACACCCAACTCTGAAAACTGATTAGCAGCTTAACCACTTTTCATAAGTCTGGGAACAGACCCACTACACAGCGCAACGCTGCTACCAAAGACAAGGGATTTTTGGGCGTAGTGTCATTGACGGCTCATGGTCTGGCAGCCTTTCCGGTCATGACTTCAAGCGGCTTGGCAAGATTCTCAGGGATCCGTTTGTTAAGATTCAGGGTGGTGGTGGCTATGGCGGTTCGGGGTCGGTGGCGGCGGGGGCGGCGGCGGCAGTGG